CCTAGCAACCATGATACTAACCGCGAGAAACGTTACATACAGCTTTGTGTGACAGAAATGAAGGAGAAAAATGTTTTGTTGGTCAATCATTTTTGTCATGACATCACTTTGATTAGTTGAGTATCTGAGGCTGAGACCACAGGACTGTAAAACATGATTGTTGGGCTTCATTTCTGTACTCAGTGGCGGTCCTAGCTGTTTGGCGCCCTGGGCGAACACTCCCTCTGGCGCCCCCCCCACCCCCATTCCCCCCCACACACATAAAACATACTAAGGATTAATATGTTTTATTAACATAAAACTGTTGTCGGAACCATACTGAATTTCACCAGAGAAACACACACACACATATGAAGAGAGAGAGTATGCATAGTATGTAAACAGCCATCATAATTCGTCATACAATGAGAACAGGACAAATCAACAACTGACAATGACTCATTAATATTAAAATCTGTAACATAATGTATTGTTTGGAGTTTAGTTTGTTACTGTTGCTATTTTTACCATTTCTTCTTGGAGCAACTGTAACTCACATAATTTCCTTAGGGATTAATAAAGTATTCTGATTGGTTCAGGATGACCTGCCATTATCCAATCACACATCTGCTTACCTGCATCTGTTGCTCGTTTCTCCTCCTCTTCTTTTCTCTTTTTTCTAAACTGAGGACCTGATGGCTTTGAACTTTTCTTGTCCATCTTGGTTTTAATTTTGCACTCCAGTATGAACACAAATCTCCTAACCCGAGGATCAGCACAACATAACCTAACACACCTACACCTTAGTTCACAGACTCCCTTTGTCTAGGGTGCATTTCTGGGATTTCGCACAACCCAGGATTCAAATCATGAATCCATGATGGGCTTGGATTTACATCATTATGAATGAAATGTGCTCTAAGCAGCCGCCCCCTCCCTTTTCGACGGGTTGTGTGAGACATTTCAATCATCAAACTGTAAATTATACATTTTAAATTGTTATTGATCCTTTACCCCGAGTCCTAAAGTGTATATTTATTTTCTTACTCCTCTTATATTTATTGTTTGTTTACTTGCATTGCTCTCGTCTCTCTATACTGGACTGTATGTAGCGGAGATGACAATAAAGTTTACTTTGACTTCAGCAGCGAGCAGGCGCACCGAGGGCTCTCGCGCTCCCTTTTCGCGTATAGAAAAAACATCGGTGCAGATTATAAGTCTGTATCATGATGTCTGGTGTTTTCGTGTTTGTTTGTTTGTTTTTATTTTGTTTTGTTTTATTTTGTGAGTTGGTTATTAGACGCTGCTCCAGCCACCAGAGAAATTAAAAATAATTGGGAAAAAAATAACTTAA